AATCAAAATAAATTTTCATGGCGTACGTTGCATTTGTTTTTCCGGATTTTGCGATGCCGCACTCCTGAAAGAACTATTTGAAAATTGAACGCTCAATTTGCGACTCGAGCATAACAGTTTATCAAAACAAAACAATTTATGCTGTTCACCGATATATAAAAGAGTGTTTTTTTAGGCAAGGCACATGATAAAATGACTACTGTACACCAACAAATCGACACATTTTAGAGACAACTATCTAGTCCTCAAAAAGCAATGTAAACTCTGCCAATCCTAAAAATAAACAACAGCTTGAATGAGGTGTGAATGAGATCGGTTCGAACCGCAGTTTTTATGCAAATTCGTGCGGTCGTCCTAAACCGCACTGTCTATTGTTTAAACTTCCAAACCGCAAAACTGGGTTTTGTTCGGGCGGTTTAGGGCGGTTTGGGTTTTCGTAGGTTTGACCCGCATGTTTGAATATGAGATCACCCCTTAGTGTATGAAGAGGTTCATCATTACAGCATATTGTAAAATCTGTATTAGAAGCCACTACTTCTATTAAAATGGTACAATGCAACAGAAAGGAAGCATCTACACATTGTAATTGTAATTTTTTGGTTCTCAATTGTTCAAAAAGAATGGGTGCGACTTCTATTAGGAATGAGACTTCTAATACAGATTTTATGGTACTTGTACTATGTAATCATACAACCGAGGCAATGACCTATGTAAATGTGTCAATTGAAGTTGGTGTGTCACAGTTCTGGTGGTATGATGCTAGGTACAAGACATTCATTCCGTTATTATTTATATCTCGTATGACAGACTTGAATTTTATCATCAGACAAGTACATGTGATATCCAAAATATATGTGGGAAGTTTGGATGTGATCAGTCAAGGGACGTTTTCATTTGCCATTCTATTGCCTGTCGCAGTTCGATCTGAGTGTTGTCAATTTTCGTGAATTTTTCTTTTTTTGCAGGGGATGTCCGAGCAAACGCCCACCATTACTTTTTGGGAAATGTGCAGGACCCTGGGCACTTATCGGATAAATAGGGTAGTTTATGACTTTGTTCACAACAGAGACTAAATATTATGTTCAATGTACATACCAATTTTCTATGAAATATACCAGCTATTTTGATTTGAATCATGAAACAAATACATGTGCACAAGTATGATGTGATGTGTGAAGAATAAAAGGACCAGACTGGTCGAATATACAGGTGTGGACAGACACATACATTGAGTTGAAACTATATTCCTCCTCATTTTTGGACTTTGTACTGACAGAGACATAGATTTCCCAAGTACAGTTGCATCTATTTACTTATTTATGTTAACATAATGGTGTCTAGTTGGTATGCTGGAATATGTTCACATGTAATTCATATAGCTCTAACTAAACCAATACTGTAACAGTATACCAGTTTTACTGATTTATTTAAAAAAAATCTAAGACTGGACTCAACACTGGGAAAACTCAACGGGCCCGGACACGGCGAGGATTGACAGATTGAGAGTTATTGTTGCCAACACAAAACCACTTACTTTGTCTGATATGTATTTCTCATATCTGTCGTAAAGTTTACTTCTCATATCATAAACATATTCTTCCACAGCATTCTTAGAATCATTTCTTTCTTTTTCCAATTTGTCTTGCATTACCATCTTGCCCTAAGTGAGAAACTCGATAAGGTCAGAAAGTGATCACACAATAACATCCTCCTTTCCCTTCATCAAGAAGCCTCAATTGACCTCGACCTCGTTTTTCTTCTAATGGCTGGGTAGCACTTTACTTTCGTATTTTGGATGATTGTTGGATCAATGAGATATCTGGTACAACATTAATTCAGTTGATCAGAAAGCAATGTAATCCAAATGTAATCTAGCACACAAGCGAAAGTTACAACACAGAGAAATGTATTGCAACTATTAGTATGTGCAAGTTTGTATACTGTATACAAATTTTGAGCATTGAACACAGTCTCAGGGAAACAGATGAAAGGAACATTTGAGATGGGTATTCTTCGTTACGATGACACAGGACACATCTTTAGACAACTCACCTCTTTCTCCACTGACAGATTCAAGTCAGTTTGAGATAGCTCTTGAGCGGAAGTCTCAATAGGTAGATCAATCGTTTTAAATTGTTTCTTGGGCTTCTTTGGTGTGTCAGCTTTTTTTTCAGTTTTTCCAGTCTCCTCTTCCTTCTTCTCATTATTAGATTCTGTTTGAGAGTTTTCTTCTTTCTGGCTCTCAGGTGGCGTGTCAGTGTCCATTGGAGTCTGCTGAAAAAACAATAGTGTTAATCAATGCAGGTCCATGAATTGTGTTTCTATCCATAGTACCGTTAAAATTCCATTATAAACCGCAGTTTATATTACAATGTATCAAATAAAAAATTGGGATCAACAGCTCAAGTTCGGGGTGCGGTTTCTATTACGTACATATTGCAATCACTAATTGGGCGTGGTCATTTTTCCCCACATCACTTGCACAAAACAAACAATACACCATACAATATTTTGAATATAAGCGTAACTCCGATTTAGATGTCAAGGAAGAGTGATTGGTAAACAGCCCCGCGCCCCAGCAAACTGCCCCGCGCCACAGCAAACTGCCCGGCGCCACAGCAAACTGCCCCGCGCCACAGCAAACTGCCCTGTACCACAGTAAACTGCCCTGTACCACAGTAAACTGCCCTGTACAACAGTAAACTACCCTGTACCACAGAAAACTACCCTATACCACAGTAAACTACCCTGTACCATAGTAAACTACTAACTGACCTCTTCGCTTGTATTTGTATTTGCTTTTGCCTGCACATCTTTTGTTTTTGCCTCATCATTAGTTTCAGTTTTTTGTTCAGCAGGTTGGTCAGTTTCCATGGATTCTGGTCCGTTTGTCTTTTCTACAACTTCAGGAAGTTTTTCCTGCATTGATGCTGAAGGGAGCGTGACAATGCCATGTATGTTGACCCGTACTTTGACCTTGACCTTTGCACTCTCACCATCAGCAGTAGGTGCCACTTTGTTGACAATGAAGCGACCTTTATGTAAATCATAATAAAGTAATGTTATAATCAAATAAAATTAAAGACAAGGATCTAGTAGCAGTCAACAGTAGCTTTCACGCATAGTTCCTTAGCACGGGCTAAGAGGTCAAATACCTCGTAATATAAAAGCAGTTCACAGTACAAGTATCACTATTTTTATTACACTGTGTGCAATTACAGTTCAGTACAAAAATGGAATTAATTTTAACTCAGGTTTGCTGCCATAATGACCATACGAATACAGGTGCATTCATCAGAGACACTCATTGAGGGCAATGTGCATGTTACCCGATAATTACCCAGTAATAGCATTTGCACAAAATTAAAACATTCCCAATCACTGTATTACCATACTAATGGCAGGGTAGGGAAGGGGGGGGGGGGGTAACAAAATTCACTTGGCAAACTTGCAAAAAATTCTGCCAAAAATAGTCTTCAAAATAACCTGATTCAGAATGTCTAATTTCACATAGATACTTACCAATAAATGGATGGGTATAGGGAATATTTTTACAATCTACATAGTAGGCCTGTAGTTCAAAAGGTTCTTTCCTGTAGAATGTTAACAGTTTAGAAAATGGTGCCGCATGATTTTTACTGAATACTTCCATATCTCTGAAAAAAAAATATGCTCAAATGTTATAATTGCATAGTTATAATATCTTCTTGCTATCTAACCAAAATATTGCCATTATCAGATAAATACAAACACTAAAGGTGTTATACATACAAATTTACAATCCCAGTCAATCGATTATGTTGAAAACAGCCATGAATGACCAGATCTAAATCTTATACATCAATTGATTATATTGGTCATTCAAATACTTAGCCGCAGGTTAAACGAGTCTTGGCAGCTGTTGGCTTCCTATTTCAAAGTGATGTTAGAATGTTTGATACTTACCCTTCATCTTCATCTTCCAGCGAAGCTTTCCAGGTTAGTTTGATTGGATACGGTGTTACATCCGTGATTGAGAACTCACGAACACGGAATGTGGGAGATAAAATTGCACACTGGAAATAAATTAAAAAACAAATGCATCAGCCAATAGTAAATATTTGCGAACCAAATACACCGATTTGCATTTTGGATACAATGACAATGCTCCAGATAGTATTGTATTTTCGATGAAGTCACATGACAATATGTTTCAGATTGTGTGCCCAATGTTTTCAATTAAGCAATGCTTGAATGAACTTCTATAATACTGCTTCAGATACAATAGTTACAAATGTTTAATGAGGTTATATATATAGTTATTAAAAATGTTCAGATCTAGTAGGGTAGTATGGCAATGGCAATATGGTGTGGTATTTGGAGAAAATTACAAATTGAAGTTAATTGCGAGATGATCACAAAATCGTGAAACAAACATTTCTAAAAATACTAACAAATGAATGAGTTTGAAATGGTTTAGCTAGTGTGTTCTAGTGTGTAGACTTTTTTTGTTGTCTTTTCATATATGATGATAATCTTTTTCATTTCTGTTTTGTCATTTCAATTCAACTTTTACAAGCATCCACTGTTTTTCTACTTTTTCATTGCACATTTCTGTATTTAGAATCTAAGTTGTATACCCTTAATCCTTGATGTCAGATATTTTCACAGAGCTGGATTAAACTAACAATTGCAAAAGAAATTCACATAAATAGTACCAGAAAACAATTCTTTCAACACAATTTTGAATTCGCATAATTTAAACAATTTGTGTGTTAATGTCTAAGCAACATATGCAGCTAAATTTTTTTTAGATTTACTGGCAGATTAATCCATTCAAATGTTGACATACATCCAACAAATAAAATGGAGTATTTTTTTTCAATGGGAAAAATATAATAGGGCAATGTTTGTTTCAGATATGCTTGCAATACAGCTGTATTGTTAGACAATCACTGACACTATGGCTGGTTAGGTGTGTGAAAAAATATAGTTAGTATTGAACGCACACAATGTGGTTATAGCAGTGAGTTGATATTCTCGTTTAATTACCTGTAAAGCACACCCTCTTGCTACAGCTTCGTCTTGGTTCAACGTTGTACTAACTTCCTTACCAAGAACTTTCTTAATGATTCTTTAATAGCTGGCATACGTGTTGAACCACCGATTATTTCTATTGAGTCTATGTCATCTTTCTTTAACTCTGGGGGAGGGAAAAAAAAACATGCATACTGTAAAATGACTAATTTTCACTGGGTTTAAACTTCACTGATTTAGCACTTCAGGCATATTCAGTGGGTTTTAAATTCACGGTTTTATCATTTAGATAATGTGTTCTATGCTAAATTTTACATATTCACTGGGTTTTAATTTAGCACATTTTCCAGTCAGCGAAATAAGCAAAATTAAAACCCAGTGAATAATTAACCCTTTTACAGTATTTTATACTGTGTTTTTTATTCATATTCCACCTTAACTGAGCTATGTTTCATCAATTCAGCCATGCAAAACATACTAAAGTCTCCACCCTGGAAACAAATCAAATTTCTATATTCTTCTCTTTTAATCCTTATCTTTTAAATATTTGATAGTCCCATACTTACTTGAATCATGAAGCAGTTGAATAAAAGCGGTGCCTCAACCCTCTTTAAGAGACCTGCAGAAAGCGATTCAAAATCAGCCCTGAAATCAATAAAAAACACATTTATAAAAGAGACGTATGTTTACATTAAGTCATGTAAGGATCGTCTTACTTAGCAGACACATGGCTTCATCCCTAGTATTCTAAGAAAACCAATTTAATCAAACAATCCTTAGATTGAAACTATGAAGGACCTGATTATTTTCAAGCATCAAGACAATAGTTTCTATGTTCTCTGAATTGTAAAGCCTTGTAGTCAGATGTCTCAGTGGTACAGATAATATTCATTCTACACAACCTAAGGTAATCATGTTTCATAGACATCAAATAGAAATGCTATCAGTGTTGTTTCAGGGCAAACAAAAATAGTTTGTTATGGGTTTGCAAATTATACATTTATATTGTCTGGTTAAGATTATAAACAAAAGTAAAAATGTCTTTCATCAATAGAGGGCGTGAAAACTTGATGAATGTTGTCAAGTGAATTTTAGTTGTCTTATTAGTCCCCATTCAGACGTAGTCCGAAAACGGGGACTTATGTTTTTGCCCTGTGTGCTACCGTGCGTCCGGGATCACCTGTATCTCGAACATGCATGGACCAATTAAGTTCAAACTTCACTCATACATCACACATTATATGGGACATATGCACATGCATTTTTTTCATGATCCGATTAACGATAGCCGAATAGCGTCCATTTTAAGGCCGAAAATGCATCAAAATTGCACATTTTCACCATTCCGGACCTGGATCTCAGTTATGCATGGACGGATTTTGTTCAAATTTGGTACATACATTAAACATAATAGGACCTTGATGCACGTCATTTTTTTTTTTGGATCAAGTTCAAAATGGCCGACTGGCGGCCATTTTGTTTTAAAGAATTCAGTTCTGGATCCGTATCCGAGACATGTCTGGATTGATAGAGTTCAAACTTCACACACACAAGGTACATCATGTCACAAATATGTATGTGCATTTGTTTCATGA